TCGTGTCTTGCCGTCCTCTGAAATAACCTTCCTGTGTACTACAGGAATCTTCAGTTATCTTTTGATTGTTATTACTGATCACTGACCAAAATTAAGGATAGCATATCAACTTTAAAATGCAGTATTAGAGATGCCTTTTAGACTCAGTATTGCAATTGCTGTCTTGCTACCGTTCCGTATGTTGCAGGCACAAGAGGCTTTGAAGTGAGTGCCTTGTTCACCACTAGCAAAATGTTCAGCTGCAGTTCAGCAGTTCTCACTGCTTTCTGAGCTATTCTTGTTCACAAACCCAGGCAGGGAATGCTCTGTAAAACCATGCTTCCCTGTGGTACTTACAGTACTTTTGATTACTGCTAGCCAGGAAGGATAGCAATGTTGCAACTTCCATGCTGCCCCTTTCAGCTGGGAGTGATGATGCTGATACATGTGAGTTTCAAACGAATCATTTATGTAGAGGTGGTGTGAAATATGAAAGAATGCTTTATCTTGAGATTCAGGAGAGCTTAAATTTGCTTTGGGCTCAGCTATTACTGCAAAAGCAAGGGCAGTTTCCCTCAATTTCTTGTGACCTGTATGATGCTGAAAGCCTAATGAGTTTCTCACTGTACCTTGACCTTAGCACAGCAAGGAAATAAAACTTGGAATGATGACACCACATTATAAATAAATAATACTTAAATACTGACTGTAAATAATGAATATAAATTATCTAGTTTATTAAGCCCAAAAGTCTATTTCAGAATTAGTGACATAAGGAAATACTCAGTTTAGTGATTCTTAAAGCTTGATGATTTTTAGTGTAAGTCTGAGGTGCAACATCAAGGAAAAAGTACATTAAAATGATTAAATATGCTATAGAATCATTCATGATGCTTTGACTGAAAAAAAAATGTTGCATATGTTCATCTACATGAAGAAAATGCTGTTCCCACAGTAAAGATATGAAATAGGTTATTGGAATGTATTGTGAGCTATACAACACTTCTTACATCGTAATTATCTGCATTTGTTCCTGTGATTACTGTAAGCTATTTAAATACATATAAGATCAATACAAAACGTTTAAAGAAAGATCAAGGAAATTCAAACATCTGAACCACTCATAAAAAACCTGGAAACATTGGCACCCTCATAAAAGATTAAAAATGAAAAATGTAGTCTATAAAACCAATATAAATTCACAGAATAAGATTAAAAGTTTTGAGTATATCTAATTCAAACTACATAATCATTTACATATTTTCTCATTGTATTCCAACAGCCAAATATTAATTCAGTATGTGCGCATCTGCAAAACTATTTAAGAATAGGCAGAAAAACAATTTGAATGAAAGCATGTTGTGAATCAGAGTGTTTAGCAGGGGTATGTACATAAAACGAAAATATATTTCTGATTTTGGGGAAAATGTAGGCTCAGATTTCTAGTCACTGAAATTAATTCTAGACACACAATAATCTGGTCTATCAATTCTTTGCTTCACAAACAGAAGCCTCCTGCACACAGTGCACTTTAAAAGCAAAACGTGGTATATTTAAGTACTGGAAAATAATACGCTTATTTGAGAAGCAGAGTATCAGTCACAAATATGTACTATTTAGTAAGCTGTCTTAAACATAGGTCTACTGAGCTTTATGTCATTTTTTCCCAAGAAAATTTACATTTATCAGTAAACATCATAAATCAGATAATTGAAAATACAGAAAGAATGGTAAAGTACAGTCCAATTTTAAACCATCACACATCTTGTTATGTTAAATTATGTAAATAAAAATGGACTGTGGTGACTAAGATTTGCCCCTCTACTGAAAAAGACATAGCCACTTGTTTCCCATTCACCCTTCTGGAATCATTGGAGTGCATTGCATACAAGGCAGGATCACATTTTTTCATTTGCTAAGCTGTGAAGAGTAAGTCGTTTATCTGAGTTTCATGCACTAATTCCCCATTCTTTCCAATCTACTACCACTAAAATATATTTGCTTACAAGACCTTTGCCTACACAGCAAGTAATTGGATGCAAAAGGAAAGCACCAGCAGAATGAAGCTGTCAGTGCTGAGGTTCATTTGCTGAAGCAATCTGTAGTTTGGAGTTTTACTCTAGACTGGATTTAGTATGATCCCTTAAACTGAAACCTTCTGTCATGCATGTAGACTGAAGCTGTCTGAAGGAACAAGAGCTGGTTTGGAGTTAGCGTCCCTGTTAATGGTTGAGTGGCATGCAGTATGCTTCAGCAGCAGAGCTTACAATTTATTTTTCTCAGGAAAGAAGCTAGTTTGGGCTTATCAAAACCATTCTGCAACTGAGCCAGCATGTGGAAAGTAGGAACAATGGAGAAATTCATCTAAAAATTACACTACTCTTCTGAATGGAGAGGCTAATGGAGATGTGGCCCACTCCTGAGAAACAGATTATTTCTTGGGAGGTTGGGAAACAGCAGCATATATCTGAAATTACATGTCAACAGTGGCCTGTTCAATGAAGCAACGTATATATTAGAAGATTTGAAACCACTGGGCTATATTCCAGTTTTGGAAAGTGACAAGAAAGAATATCAGAGATGAAAGTAATGTCTTCATGTTGAAATGTTCACTCTTCTGGCAGTGAATAGGAAATACTTGGTGATTGAACAGTGTTATGCAGTGAGTTTGAAACTTAACATTTGGAAGTAGGTGAGAAGGAACTCTAAATGGAATTAAAAAAAAAACAAAACAACATTGGAGAAACATTTCTGAAAGATACTACTGCATATAAGTATTGCAGCAAACAATCAACTGAAGTATATCCTGATTTTATCTAAAGTGAGATCTACGAATGACTTTATATATATGTATGTATATATATATATATATAGAATTTTATTTCTGTTTGTTGGATTCCTTACACATTTCACTTAGCTGCCAGTGTCAGAGATAGCTTTGTGTCTTTTGTGCTGATTCAATAGGTTTTCAATTTACAGAACCAAATTTCCCACCATATAATAGAGCAGGAATACGAAAGTCTCTGGGAATATTGTGATTGCACTGAACTATGACAACTGTTGCTAACTTTGCTGTTTAACAGTGCTAAAGCCTTCTTCTGAACAAAGAATTAACATCTGCTGCCACAAGTTGACTCCAGAAATGACAGTAAACTGCAAACAGAAAAATACTTTCATGCTTTCCCTGCATCCTTTACAGTGAATAGAATTTGTGGAATTCACTGGCTATGGGCAGTGCTCAGTAATTAATTGTGTATTTAAAATCTGGCAGAGATCTGCATTCATCTCTAAAGAAAGAATAAAATGACAGCAAGTAACAGCCAAAGTTGGATTGACATTTGTCTTACTATGTGCATCTCATGGATGCAATACAATTAGATCTCTAAACAAGACTAATAATTAAGAGAACAGAGAGCAACCTATTCAGTTATCCACAGGAATTGAATATGCTTTTCGGAGCCTAGGTATAACCATTTAGAATATCTACCAAAAAATGCAATTTAACAGCCCTATCTCTGTAGGATCTCTCTATACCCCACCCACAGGAAAATGAAGGGGCTGGAAGCTGTTCACATGCTTTTCCAAGTTAAGAGATCCTTCCCCAGAGATTTTCTTTCCCACATTATCTAAAAAGTTGAAGGACATTTTTGAACATATAAAATATGCAAATGAGGTCTTGCTGCTGTAAGGAAATAGCTGGGATAATACATGAACCTGTAACTCATAATCATGTTTGGTATCAACTTTTCATGATCCAACTTCAGCCCTGCCTCTATAATTTCCAAGCCAAAATTAGCCAGGACACACAAAATTGGTGGCAGTGTGAGGAAAGATGTGCCACAGCTGCAGCTCCTCCCCGGTCTCCCCATGAAATAGCCAAGATCTGAGGAAGTATCAAAAGCTATTAGCACAAATGAAGAGCCCTTCACGTCCATGTTGAAGTATTATTGGCAAAGGGTATTAGACTTCAGTTGCAAATGCTCTCAGCTACCAGCCCAACACCTCTCGCAGACTACAAATTATGAAGTGATTTGTTTTTCAGCCCAAGGTGTTAATAAGAGATGTGAAAAGTCTGGGTTCACCAAATGTTGCTGTTACACTAAGCTTAATGGCCCTCAGAGAAGAAAATTGACTCTCTGACTTCAAGAACAAGTTTTCTAATGAGCCTGAGTGATGAAAGAGAAATATTTTGCACGTAGTTCTTCAGAACAACAAGAAACTCCTGAGAAGGGAAGTGATAGTTTTTGATAGAAACAGACAAGTCTTTAAACATACTTTCTTCAGAGGTTTTGAGATAGTATATTCTTCTGTGAAGGGCAAAATTCCTAAGTTGTGATGGAAGTGTAAGCTTTGAGCTCTGCTCTCACTCCTCTGTTCTATTGTATCAGTGCTTTATATGAAACCAGGGCTTTGTTCACTGTGTCGATCTTTCAGCTAAACACAGGCAGTAGCTAACAAAGATAAAATATTGCTTAGGATATTTACAAATTACGGCCAGGAATGTATGGGGCTGCTGTATCCCAGATGTCTTCATTGCTGTGTCAAAAATATGCAGGTACCCTGTACTGGTTATTCAGCAGACTTGACCACATTCCAAGTAAGAGCTGTGAGAAACCTAAGATGAACTGTGTCTCCTCAGCCTGTATAGTATTTCTCTTTTGGGTTGCTTTAAGAACAGCATTGAGATACACCCCAGATACTCATATGGAAAAAAAAAAAGGGATGTTCAGCTCCATCCGCTTGCTCCCAGAAGACATAGTTCAGTTGTCATTTCAAATCATACTTTAAATGTGGGTGGGAGGATGTGTGAGATGGAGGAAAGATAACTTACACTTAAATAAGATAGTGACAAAATTTTTATGTACAAAACTTATTCTTGTGCTCTTTACTGGTTCCACCTCCTTTTGTCTAAAATTTTCACTTCTCTTCACATGTTAATGGTTCCTACAGCCTGAGTTAAGCCACTTTGGCAAAATGTTATGCTAACCAAGATCTAAAGCTTTAAAACACACAGAACATACCTGTGGTTTCACGCAGGAAAAACATATTCAGCAGGTAGCCTTCTACAGTAAGTAGCATTAAGTAACAGCTTCTGAATCTTTCCTGAAGAATAAAAAAAAAACACTGAGTAACAATTCATTCCACATAATATGGTAAGATTGACTGCCTTAGAAAGCCTATGAAATTATATTCACAGTGCTATCATTTGAAGGCTCTATATAATTCACTGACTACCTTGTCATGCACTGAGCATGTGATGTTATATTTTGGGCACACTAGGAAGTATTAGATATAAAATTACTCTGTATGATGCCGCTCAGATGTAAAAAAATGCATTGCTTGGGACTGTGTGATTCAGTGAGAAAATATAAATGGGAAATTATTGGAGTTGAAACTTTATTGCAAAGCTATTTATCTCTGTTATTATTTTCTGACTCCTTTTGTGCTTATTTACTGCAAGATATAGAACGAGTCTTATTTATTCTTTAAGCTGAGGATAATAAAGGAAGAAATAGTCAATGCATACCAAAAGAGGAGATTAACACGTGGTCCAAGTTAGTGTTTATTTCCCTAATATCTAAAAAAGTAATTTTGATATATGTATATATATGTATGTGTGCAGGCACACACACTCATATCCATTCAGTTTGATGAAAGAGCTCCAGAATTACACTGAATATGAATAGAGATATTATTTTTAAAAAGATGTGTCTTATTGATTTTAAAGAAAAGGAATGGAGATTGAGGAGTTACACACATATATACATGCCCTGCCTGTCCATAGATATCATGTTTAAAAATATAAATGTTTACTAAAAAAATATACTTATTCACAAAGGCAATTAAATATATGTATATATATATATATGTGCATATACATATATTTATGTATAATGTCTTCAAATGCTGTGAAGCACAAGGCGTATCAGTTTCTACCATTCCAATGGAAGTCCATCTCAGGATGTCAGTTGAGGTGCATTCTTGTACACAATTAATTTGTCAAATTCGTTTCATGTTCCTTCGTGTAATTAGAGCACTGATGTTTCAAAATATCATAAATGGTTTCTGACTATTTAAACTTCTGAACTGTCTTTTTGTAAGACTCAGAGAAACAACTTGCAACAAGCTTGAAGAGAAGCTATCACAAGAGGAAAATGTGCACTGTTTGCAGTGAGAAAAGAATGAGGCACCAACTGACATAAAACATCCTTGCACCACTTATTTTTTTTTTTTGTAGAGGCTCCCAGCATGTGATCCATCCCTCTGGAAGAAGATGGAAAGGAAAAGGACATTCATATTTAAATATTATAATCTGCAACTAGATTTCACTACTGCATAAGAGTAAAGGGAATTAGGGATCTACAAAGGAGGCTTCAGCACGATATGAATCTCCAAAGGCTTGCCCTTTGCTCCAGCTACTTTCCCAGTAGAAGCTGTGCTGAGTGTAACTCATGCTAGTTTAAAAGCATCTTCAACAAATACGAGAAAATGAATTAAAAACAGGACAGAAAGAATCCCATATGATGCAGAAAGCTCAGTTCTTTGCATTATTTCTTATTCTCAGCAGTCTGAAAGGATGACAATAATGCTAATTTCTGTGAAGCCTCATCATGGCAACCCATAGGTTTATATGGCTTTAACAGAACTTTCATAGCTCTTAGGAGGAAAGAGACTAAACATTCCATGAAGCACGCAGCTGTTCATATATAGAATAGCAACAGAAATGCTGAGATACATAAGGAAATAGGTTTAAATTTGTCCCACACTTGAATGCAGAAAATATCATGGGCAATCCGGGATCTGGTAAGTATGTAAAAAGTGAATACAAGTCAAAAAGAACCCATAGCTCTACATTTAAAAAAAGATCTTTGCAAAGCTGTGTGTGTTTGTAGTTCCATAAATCATTGTTCCAGCTGGCAACTTTATTGTGTATCAACCTTTGCTCAATGTCTTGCTCTTAACTGCAGCAGTGTGACAATAATTTTAATTAAGTGATTCTGTAATTTATGTTCCACAGGTGTTTCTGAAGGATCTGCATACTAACATGTAAGTGCAATTGCATTCCTGATAGTGAAGTCTTGGGTATAAATCTGAAAACTGTATTAAAGACAGATCTCACAACTTCATGGAGACTTTTGATGTATTCAGAAATAAGAGTACTATTTTTTTTTCCAATGAAAGGGTTCAATATGCTGATTCAGCACCAATACCTCAACAGATTCTGCATGCGATTAGAGGATATATAGAGTTGGTGTGAAATGGTATTTTGAAGCTAAAAGGGTAGTGAAGAGAATAATTTTTGATTTGAGAGAAATAGTACCATTTAGGCCAAAGGGAAAAACTTCTCCCTTGCCTGTCATTTTCCTGTCCATGCCAAGTTGTGTGCATGCCTCCATGAACCAGTTAGAGTAAAATCCAACTCATAGAAATACTGTGACACTATTTAAGAATATAAAAAAAAGATGAATGAGTGATAAATACTGCTATTAAGTAGGTAATACGTTCATATTGTCTACAGATTGTAGAACTAATTTATATTTTTATTAAAAAGAGAGATTTACAATTACATTTTCATTTTCCTTGGTTCAAATGATATGTAAAAAGACAGGGAAATGCTTATGTTTAGTTAAGACATATAGTTTGCTCAAGGTCTTAATCAAATATAAGTATTAAACCAGAATTTCTTACGATTCAATGGCATTAATCACACAAACTTCATGTTAACAGTTTCAGTTCAGCATATGTCTTTAGAAAAGCGCATTAGTACACTGTTTAATAAAAGAGAACTATCTTAACCTTTTGTTAAACCCAATTCCAAAGATTAATATATAAAATGGAAGTATTACTGAAGAAACTTATATTATTTAGCCAAGCCACTGTTAGCTGAGCTTTTAAAAAACACCTTTTTCTCCATGAAGAATGATTCCAAGTGGCCAGACCCCATGTGTTCAGGTAGTTATTTAAGCAAATTCTTCCATCTATCCTAAGCATTTACAGGGCTGGAACATTCTTGCACATGAAGTCATTTTGATAGAAGATTGTTCACAGTGCTGGATTACTCAACTGGATCTTTCCATATTCACCCCAAATTACACCTTTATGCCATCACTGATACAGTTTTTATTTGAATGGAAACAAACTGCATCCACAGCACAACTTCAGTGTTTATTTTGTTATAGCTACCTATGTTTCTCTCTCAACAGGAAATAAAATCTGGACTCTACATGGAATTTCCAACACTCTAAGTCTTCATTGCTACATAAGATTAATTTCTTCTCTTAAGCCATGTGAAGGGAGCCCTAAAAAGCTCTTTCAGGCTCCACGCAGCTAAAAATAAATAAAATCTTTCTTTACCTTATCTCTTTTGACTTGGATTTATACTTTAAACAAACAACAACAAAAATCCCTCAATTTTAAATTTGACCATATCAGCATGTTTTTCTTCTGTATCACTTCTGCCATGAAAACAGTCGCCTTTTGAAAAAATGCCCTGGATTAGTCCACACCTGAATGTGCACTAACTTGTTTCATTTCATGAACTATACCGGGACTTTAATCTGAAGAGACATGTCCTCTGAATGTGTTCTTGCTGTTGCTGTTGATTTTATTAAAAATACTTCCCTGAGCAGACCTCAGTAACATATTCTTCAATGCAATCCACCTCACGCAGATATCCTCAGAAACTTTGACAGCTTTATGAAAAAGACCTTTATTTTCATCCTTTATTCTCCCCTCATCTGTCTTCATAAAATGGACTTTTTAATCTATAATTACTCTGCTTTACAAAATCAATTTTGGTCCATGCTGACTCGTACCAGTATTTTAAAAGTAAACAGAATTTGGAAAATACAATTAAGATATTCATGATAAAAATTATTCCTTCACAGCTTTATAGTTTCTTAATATTTGATTAACTGTAACTGAAAAGCCAAGAAATTGGGTGTAGGGTTCAGAGCTCTGTGTATGGCTCTGCCACTGATTTAGTGGCTGACCAGGAAAATAATTTCCTTTGTCCACTGCTCAGCTTTCTCATTTCTGAAATTCTGAGCTAGTGAGAATGATCAGACCCCAAGACTGGAAGCTCTAATTAAAGCTTAGGGAAAAATACTAGTAAGCACAGGCCAAAGTATCTGTTCATTTTTTACGAGAGAGTCTGAGACACATGTTTGAGATGTTAGGATATTTTTGCAGTGAAAAGCAATAGCTGCTCTAATTATGCTCTAATTAGTTCATTATTGACCACAAAAGAAAGCGTGTATTTCTGTGTGTGTGCTCTGCTGATGGATATATGAAACACAAAAAGAGTAGAAGTGCAGTGTTTTCAGATATTCTCAGACATACCAACCAATATATCATTCCAATAAATTTCAGCTTTGAGATGAATATAAAAGCTGAACACATTCTATAGAATAGCTCTAGACTAACTGTCAGAAACAGAAAGATTTTGAATTCACAGTGTTTAATATATGATCACATCTCCAAGCACAGTAGCTGGGAAGTGGGAGGGTACTGAGGGAATGTTAAATGTAGGGCATTATATATTAATATAATTTCTTCCTTTCCCCAAGATAAAGAATATTTTTGCTCATGCAGCCTTAATTTAGATGGCCTGTCAAATCCTCCTTTCTGCAGTGTCACGATGAAAGACACTGATGTGGGCCAACAGAGGCAGTACTGGGGCTTTTCAACTTTTACTGTATAAATGCTAATGAACCCCTCCACTGAAAGGGCTCAGCAAGTTCCCTAATCTAGACCGTCCATAAATTATCTGTTTGTTTGCTTGTGCTGAATCTCAGAACATTTTGAATTCTGCTGAAGTCAACAGAATGATTCACGTTGATTTTCAGAGGATGCTGTGGCAGCTTTTAATGCCTGGATCCTGCCATGAGTCCATGTTTGTTAACTCTGGTTCTGCATTAGGGTCCACAGCCTGTACATAAGTTCAGTATTTGTGCAGATGTCAAGCAATGACAGTGCATTCATGGCAAAACAGAGATACAAATTCAGCTTGGACTGTGCACACTCTATTCCTAGCCTTAGGTCAAGAGTCAGATGCTAAGAAGCAGCACAACCCCTCTGACTCTGCTACCTATTTGATCTGC